GCTACTAAATCTTCATCATCGGAAAAAAGCTCGGATGGGGTGGTTTTGTTGGGAAGAGATTGACTAGAAGTCGTTTTATCATTCTGCATGAGATTTAAATCATCAATACATTATTTTTTGCTCAAATTAGCGGCAGTTGCATCAAAGTTTTCAACCAGTTCATCATCATCTTTGTAAAAAGATTGTGGTTTTATTTTCGAACCTGCAGTACGTAAGTGGGATGGACTCGCCTTTGGAATTAAAGAACCAATACATTGTTTCTTGCTTAAAGGGCACGGGTTTTATCGAATTCCACTCAAATTAGCAACAACTGCATCAAACCCTTCAACCATTTCATCATCATAGGTGTAAACAGATTTGGATTTAATTTTTAAACCTTCCGTACGTAAGGAAGATGGACTAGCCTCCGTCTGGAAACTCTCTGTGATTTTCTCGAAAAAATTTTCTTTGCCGGAACCCTTGTTCGGTACTTCCGGTGTTTTGAAATGAGACACTTCAGCAATAGTAGTTGTCCCAGTAGAGCTGGTGAAGTTTATAAAAATGTTCAAATCTTGATTGAGTTTTAGGCTACTCAGAAAAAAACCATAACGAAACATCAGTCGTTAGCAAAACATGGGGCGTTTTGTTAGTAGGGGCATCTTCCTTTCCTTGAGATGGCCAGAAACTAAGCATCATCGAACTGGGATTCTTCGAAACACCAAACTCCGAAACACCAACATCTTTGACCTCCGTTAGCTTCATGTCCAACGAAATACGAATAACCCTAGACATCCTTTGTTTATCAATGACAAAGTCCCACTTCCCGTCATCACAACAACGCCAATCTCCACACAAAACAAAACAGTGATCCTCCATCCACAAAGAGCTCGCAGACGAAGAATTAGAAAGTTGCAACCTACTGATAAATTGGAGTATAAACCTAAAAGAAATTAAACAGCTGGTTCCGTCCACAGAAATCTCAACAACCAAGATTCTGAACTTCCGATATCAGCCACACGATTCAAAAATTTGTCTCGTTAAACACGCAGCATTTATTATTGTCTAGATTATATGTTAAACTCTAGCCTTAACTAGGTTCATCAGAACCATTAATGTTTAAACACTTTTACATCATCTAACGCTCAAGATGGCAAGAAGCTAACTGAATATCCAACTAAGCGAGTGGAATAAACGAAGGAAAAAATGGAAATGTTTTTTATCGAACAGTGCAAAAAGTATGGGATCTTGGCAAAGTACTTATGTATAAAATAAAACCATCAGAAAGTACTTGTGAACGTAAATAACCCATAAAATAATTTTTTTTTTTATAAAGTCGAAATCCCATAAACCATAACCTCTATTTTCTTTCAAGCCATAAACCCTAATTACTTCTAATTAATGATCGTTGATCGATATGTTTAACCAGTAATATAACCAGGCTTGGCCCAGTAGTATTATAGACTTTGTGCCAAACAAATATTTTTTTGGTAG